ACATAGACACCACCGCAAGCCTGGGGCGCTGCAATTACCCCATACACATAGACACCACCACGAGCCTGGGGCGCTGCAATTACCCCGTACACATGGTCACCACCGTGCGCCCGGGACACTGCAATTACCCCGTACACATGGACACCACTGTCCGTCCGGGGCTCTCCATTAAACTCAAACGTTTTCACAAATATCACTCAAACTTTAACTCATTTACATTTCTGGGTGCAATTTCAGCTGTGCCCAGCAGGGCGGCACCATAGCTATCCTGGGTAACCTTTGGTTCCAGCTCACAGGGCTCTGTAAAGGTTTTCAGTGACACCTCTGCTGACACACACACACACACACACTCTCTTGGGGATTTAAGACACTCTGCCCAGTGGTCACCCCTACCGCCTTTTGTCCACACGACGCAGGTGTACACCGAGAAACATTTCCATTACCTGGTGGTGCTACATTAAGCGCCTGAGCAGTACCGCTCAATAACACGGTGATCCGTTAGGCCGGCACCACAATTATCTCGGGAAACCTCTGGCCCCAACCTATTGAGCCCCTCTATGGTTTCCAAAGTTACGTCTGCTGCACCCCCCCCTGGTTGCAGACAACGCATTTTATATCGCATAACATGCATCTTTGACCCTTTGTAACTCCGCAGTATTATCCATCTCATTAGCAATACTCTTTGAAACAACAGTTGCATTAGCACGTGCATTTTTAACTCTTGCCTCCCCACTACACAACCTATTGTTGAGAGGCAAGTCTCTCTCAAAATCTACAGCGGGTCTCCCAACTGGCGGTCACTCCCACTCCACCATAAACAGAGTCACATTCAGTCGCGTTATTGACTATTACCAGTCCCAGCCAGGGGCGTCCCGAGGCTGGGTGACACCCAGAGCGGTAACCGAGTGTCACCACGCGCATGCGCGATGACGTCATTGCGCACGCGCGGCAGTATTCTGATACCAGCAAACAAATCATTGATGTCTTACCCGTGTCTTCATCTGAGTGCGCTGATGTAGGGACAACTGACGCATCCTCGGTTCGCTTTTCACCGTCCATTCCACCTACACGACCAATCGGGTGAAACAGTAGCAGGCAGCGTATGCTCTTTGGCGCCCCCCGCAGGCACAACAGGAAACTGTCCACTGTTGCCAGGGGCCATTGCAGACACGTTTTCTTGCTCAACAGCAAAAATTGTCTGGGGTATCGTATAGCTCAGGACACGCTGCTATCCCATGTCCCGGCTGGCTACATTCAATACAAGAGGACGCTTGGGGATTCCACAGCTCAGGGCATTCCAACACATTATGCCCCACCTGGCTACACACCAAACCTTATCCACCTCTCCCTTGTAGCTTCTCTCTCCTGGTGACACACTCTCCTTGGTTGCTATGGGAAACGACACCTTCCCACTGGGCACCGGTTGCCTTTCCCTTCTCCTGTCAGATTGGATCCTCTCACCATGCAGCTTTGCCACAATCAGGTGACATCCATGGCACATGATTACAGGTGTTGCTACCGGCAACCGCCTTCCTCCCAGATTTCCATTTAGCCTCTCGCTCTCTCCAGTCGCACTGAGCGAGCCTCTCAACTGTGGTAGCTGGGGGTCAAGTGACACTCAAATCATACGCAAACACTGTCACGGTTTCTACTGGTACCTGCGCAGCTTCCTCTGGAGACAACTCCTCCATCCACCAGGATTCCGCAGGCCTCTTTCCATGACGGACTTTTCTCTTTGAGCGTCCAAACTTGCAGCAGATGCTCCCTTTGTGCGCTTCATAACACTTTTGCACACTTCAGCAAACATTTAGAGCGCTGTTCCTTTTAAGGGGCGCGCTTGCCTCACACAGCATGCAGGTCTCATGAACTTCTCTTTTGCAGAAACGCCAAACTCTGCTCACGATATATGTAATAGGTACGCTGCCCCTTTAAATGTCACTTTTCTGCATCCAAACGGCTTTTGTGAGAAATAGCGCTGCTTGCCGGCTTGGAGTACCAGTTATGATGTTTGGGGATATTAGCACATATGGTGAGCGCTGCAGGGATGCCGTCCACTCGCAATATCTTCTGTTTAAGGGCCCGGTAACCCACGAAAGTTCATCCGTCCACCTTGGATACCCTCGTAGGGGTGGTACAGTATAACCGCCATGCAATACTTGCCACAGAACACAAGAATAGCCTCCTGGCTTCCACTTTACACATTAGTACTTCTGACCCAGCGGTCCTCTCTGTAGTCCTGTCCTGCACTTGTACTGGCGGCCCCTCAGGCCCACAGCTCTCCCAGCCTCACCAGTTCTCCCCAGCCTACCTGGCTGTCTTCATGTGCCTCCTGCACACACACCATCTGACTCCTCTCTGACTTCTGTGGTAGTCCTCCTGACCCCTGAACACCGTCCGTTTCTATCCCAGCAGGTGCTCGCCTGACTCCTCTCTGACTTCTGTGGTAGTCCTCCTGAACACGGTCCGTTCCTATATCCCAGCAGGAGCTCATTACCCCAGTCAGCAGCCTTTCCTTAAGGGCCTGTTCACACGACGTCCGTTTTGTCTGCTGACCGGATCCGTACGCTGCTGCACTCAAAATGCCTCCCAATGT